CGTTCCTCTGGATGTATAGTCCAATACTGCTGTGCTGAGTCGTTCCTCTGGATGTATAGTCCAATACTGCTGTGCTGAGTCGTTCCTCTGGATGTATAGTCCAATACAACTGTACTGAGTCGTTCCTCTGGATGTATAGTCGGGGCAAATCCTAACTTTAATTTAAGTCATATTTTCTCTTGCATTGATGTCAATGTTAGGATTCACCTCTTCATTCTTATTAAATGTTTAGTAAGCAAAAAATGTTTTTTTAAATGTAATTTCAGGGTCTTGAATGTAATTTCAGGGTCTTGAATGTAATTTCAGGGTCTTGAATGTAATTTCTAGTAATGGGAGATTTATTACTATAATTATATGAATAGCCATGTTTTCCATCCCCTTCCTTTTCTGATTGTTACCATCATTTTCATTTCAAATCCATTCCATTTATTTTTTTTACAGAGTCGCCGTCACCTGATGCTCCCCAAAAGACAGCCCAGGTATCTGCTGCTTCCTGTTCTGTTTCCCCCTCAGCTTCCTACATCACTGACTACGTTTCCCTGCACACTAACAATTAGATATTAAACTGATTATGGCAGTAAGCAGAGGATGACATTAGTCATGTAAACACTTTACTCTGCATATCTTAATCGGCCTAAGGTCAAAATCGAAGTAAGCATACAACACTTTTTTCTGTTGCAATCTTTCAAATGATTAGGACATGGAAACAGCTTGATAAGAGTTCCAGTGGTTGTTTGATCTGAGTGACCGCAGAACGAGCCTCCAACTTATGCGCGAGTGAAGTGATGAAAAACTGAAAATATGCATCTTAGAACTTTATATGTCCGAACTCATAATCAAATAGTCTTCACAAAAATAACATGGTAGAACATTTATTTTGATTGCAGATTTTCTGCGTTTACCAAAGTCCCATCAGGTAGCCTGATTTATTTACATTTTACATTTTTAGTCATTTAGCAGACGCTCTTATCCAGAGCGACTTACAGTTAGTGAGTGCATACAATATATATATATTTTTTCATACTGGCCCCCCGTGGGAATCGAACCCACAACCCTGGCGTTGCAAACGCCATGCTCTACCAACTGAGCTACACGGGACTAATATTAGGGAATTGTTCTTCATGTAAACGTTTAAATCAAACTATATTAATCTGACTATTCACAATAATGGTATTGTTGTGTGCGTGTAACCATACTTACCATTACCCAGCTTCTGGACTAATATCTACAAACAATCCACTACCACTTCTAATCAGCACTTGAGTTGACATTTCAACTAACTGTCATCTATGATTACTGAACTAATAACCCTTCCTGTTAATAACACTGTTATAACAACTGTTAACGTTAAGGTTTGACCATATTAACAACATTGGACTGAAATTCTTCTTCCTCTACATGCATCTGTTTGTGCTTTTAGCATTGTCATGGTGACACACTTTGCTTCTTGAAAGTCCAATATCTTGATAACGTGACTGCTGCAAAACGCCAACAAGGGACTGATGAAAATTGGATTTTCGCTTTAACCTCTTCTGTCGGATTATTCATAGAACAGCTAGCCGTTTGGCATGACCATGGGAGTTGGCTTTACAGCACAAACAGATCTGGGACCAGTGTATAGAACAGTACAGTGCAACAGAAACTAAAACTCAGACTTTTCCTGGAAGGAAGGAAGGAAGGAAGTAGCGGACCAATCAGGGACCTGTATTCTGTCCTCTGGGTTAGTGATGTGCTGCAGGAGTTTCACGTGACCATGACCAAGTGATTTACTCATCTCTCACGTGTCTTTTCTTGTCTGTTTCATTTCAAACCTCCATTTGGTCTCCCTTTAACTGTCCCTTTATAGAAATGTGTTAAAAATAACACTAATATCATATCACTAGCATCTCCAATAACTTTAAAAAAGTTGATTTTCAACTTGATATTTATTTGGTAAAGTTTGGTTAAAAACACACTGTAGCCTTGGTGACATTCTCTCAACAGTTGTGACTGATTTAATCTCTTGAACTCTGTCAACATAACTGATTTCACTAACTGAATCATCTAATCCAGACAGATGGTTATTTCCTGTTCTCTGCTGAGTGCTGACTTGATAGTGTTCACATGGGGGTCACATGGGGGTCACAGGGAACTTAACTTCCATCTGACCCTTTTCTTCCTGTATTTACGCTAGGCTGGATTGTGCTTTGCCTTGCGCAAAGGAACCCACAATATACAGACCCCACCCAACATGCACTCTAGGCAGGCTAAAGCAAACACTAAAAGTATTTGAAAGATGTTGAACCCATGCTGATAGCAGCAGACTGTTGTCATGGAGCCTGTATAGTACAGTACCTTTCACTTCACTCTGGGTTTTCAGGGTCAGGCTGAGGTCAACACTGTCCAATCATTGGGTGCCTCCCAAATGGGTCCTGGTCTAAAGTAGTGCACTAAATAGGGAATAGGGACTTATTTGGGACTCACACTGTTTGCTGATTTTAATAGATGAGCACTGTGTTTTAGTCTTTCAGCTAAATATGGGTTGGTTGGCGGTGTGGTGGAGTGGTCTGGTCTGGTGGAGTGATCTGGTCTGGTGGAGTGATCTGGTCTGGTGGAGTGGTCTGGTCTGGTGGAGTGATCTGGTCTGGTGGAGTGATCTGGTCTGGTGGAGTGATCTAGTCTGGTCCTGGTCCTGTGGTCTAGTCCTGGACCTGTGGTGTGGTCTGGTCCTGTGGTCTGGTCTGGGTCTGGTCCTGGTGTCTGGTCTGGTCCTGTGGTCTGGTCCTGGACCTGTGGTCTGGTCTGGTCCTGGACCTGTGGTCTGGTCCTGGACCTGTGGTCTGGTCTGGTCCTGTGGTCTGGGTCTGGTCCTGTGGTCTGGTCCTGTGGTCTGGTCTGGTCTGGTCCTGGACCTGTGGTCTGGTCCTGGACCTGTGGTCTGGTCTGGGATCCTGTGGTCCTGGTCCTGGACCTGTGGTCTGGTCCTGGTCCTGGTGGTCTGGTCCTGTGGTCTGGTCTGGTCCTGTGGTCTGGTCTGGTCCTGGGCCTGTGGTCTGGTCCTGTGGTCTGGTCTGGTCCTGTGGTCTGGTTCTGTGGTCTGGTCTGGTCCTGTGGTCTGGTCTGGTCCTGTGGTCTGGTCTGGTCCTGGACCTGTGGTCTGGTCCTGGTCCTGTGGTCTGGTCCTGTGGTCTGGTCCTGGACCTGTGGTCTGGTCCTGGACCTGTGGTCTGGTCCTGGACCTGTGGTCTGGTCTGGTCCTGTGGTCTGGTCCTGGACCTGTGGTCTGGTCTGGTCTGGTCCTGGTCCTGTGGTCTGGTCTGGTCCTGTGGTCTGGTCTGGTCCTGGACCTGTGGTCTGGTCCTGGACCTGTGGTCTGGTCCTGGACCTGTGGTCTGGTCCTGTGGTCTGGTCCTGTGGTCTGGTCCTGTGGTCTGGTCCTGTGGTCTGGTCCTGTGGTCTGGTCCTGTGGTCTGGTCTGGTCCTGGACCTGCTTTTGCTTTGTTTGCTCTCTTTCTCCTTTCTCTAGGGAAATGTTCAACTTTGACTTCATTTATGTCATGTGTCTTTCTAGCCCCTCGTTTACATCATTCACTCTTTCCTTCTTCATATCTCTCCATTTCTTTTTGATTCAATCAAACAACAATCACATGTGATTTATCATCCCAACGATTGCACATTATATTTCCAAGCTCATTTCAAGTTGACACAGTACTAATGCAAAGACGCATCCTAACGGCCATGTTCCCTGTGTTCCAGGTGTAGAGGCGGTTGATGCGGCCAGGACACCGGAAGGAGTGCTATGTTCAGAGGACCGTTGGAATAGCTCTGCCGGTGGGCTATGTTCACTGGCCACTAACACTGGACCATGTTCACAAACAACCTATAACATCGGGTCACTTTCACAACCCACCAACCGCTGTGACATTGGAACACAGACCACCACCTCACCAGCCTCCTCACCAGCCCCCTTTCCCGCCTCACCAGACCCATCTCCCGCCTCACCAGCCCCCTTTCCCGCCTCACCAGCCCCATCTCCCGCCTCACCAGCCCCATCTCCCGCCTCACCAGCCCCATCTCCCGCCTCACCAGCCCCATCTCCCGCCTCACCAGCCCCATCTCCCGCCTCACCAGACCCATCTCCCGTCTCACCAGCCCCCTCACCAGCCCCATCTCCCACCTCACCAGCCCCATCTCCCGCCTCATCAGCATCCGTCTCGCCACAACACCTGGAGGAATGTGTCAATCTGTCTCAGTCTCAGACCCCGAGCTGCAGCGCCACAGCCAGCCTCTCCTTTCAGAGACAGAGGAGGGGGATGGGGGTGGGGAGAGAGGACCTGAAGAGAGGATCATCATCACACTTTCAGAAGCACAAGAGGAAAGATGGGAAAGGATTGACCAAACGTGTGTTTCTAGGGAGGAGGAATAGCACGGTGTCGGAGGGAGAGAGAGAGGACGGTGGTGGGAACACAGAGCAGGCTGGAAACTGGAGCATTGTGAAGAACACTGTTAATCAAGAGGAGTGGGAATGGGACAGGTGGCCGGTGGGAAGCAGTGACGATGGAGGGAGTGACTCTGAAAGGAGGGGTGGAGAGAGGAAGGGCGAGAGGGGTGGAGAGAGGAAGAGAGAGCGGAAGGGAGAGAGGGGTGGAGAGAGGAAGGGCGAGAGGGGTGGAGAGAGGAAGAGAGAGAGGAAGGGAGAGTGGGGTGGAGAGAGGAAGGGCGAGAGGAAGGAGAGAGGGGGTGGAGAGAGGAAGAGAGAGAGGAAGGGAGAGTGGGGTGGAGAGAGGAAGGGCGAGAGGGGTGGAGAGAGGAAGGGAGAGAGGGGTGGAGAGAGGAAGGGAGAGTGGGGTGGAGAGAGGACCGGGCGAGAGGGGGGGAGAGAGGAAGGGAGAGGGAGGTGGAGAGGGTGAGGAGAGGAGGGTGCGAGGAGGGAGGGAGGAAGGGCGAGGGGTCGAGAGAGGAAGGGAGAGAGGGGTGGAGAGAGGAAGGGCGAGAGGGGTGGAGGCAATAAGCACACAGAGATGGAGGAAGAGGAGGAGCCATCAGCCACACCCCTGCTGGAGGAGGAGGAGTCTGATAACTCCTGGATGTGCCCCTTGACCTCAGATGAGCTGTCTTTGTCTCCTAGCAACACGGAGTTAGCCTCCACACTGTCCACTCCGTCCTCCAAGACCCCGTCCTCAGGTTCAGGGTCAGCCTCGTCCCAGGGCCTCAGGACTAAGAGCCAGTCAGGGATGATCCTCAAGCTGAGGAGGGTGTTGTTTCCTAAGGGACGTAAAGGCCAACAGACCCGATACCAGGCTGTCTCTGTCTCAGACCCTGAATTGCACCGACACAGCCAGCCTCTCCTCTCAGACAGCCAGCCTCTCCTCTCAGACAGCCAGCCTCTCCTCTCAGACAGCCAGCCTCTCCTCTCAGACAGCCAGCCTCTCCTCTCAGACAGCCAGCCTCCTCTCTCAGACAGCCAGCCTCTCCTCTCAGACAGCCAGCCTCTCCTCTCAGAGACAGAGGATGGGGAGAGCGGAGATGGGGAGGCCAGGAGAGAGAGGGACAGGGAGGGGGACAGAGGAGAGGCCAGGGAAAGAACCAGGGATGGAGGTCTTTCCAGGAAGATGTCCTCCAAGCTCCCCCAGCGAGGGCTGCGTTTCCAGGGCTTCTCTTCTACCCTGCGCCCCCTCTGCCACCTTACCACCTTCTCCTCCTTCAGCCGACTGTCCTCCGCTCTGTCCTCCTCTCTGTCCTCCTCTCTGTCCTCCTCTCTGTCCTCCTCTCTGCGTCGCTCCGTCATGAAGATCAAGTACTGCCCCTTCTTGTCTGCCTGCCACAGCTCTGACCACCGCCGGCGCCGCTGGATCCTTCGCTCTGCCGTGCAGCGCGCCCGCCGGGTCATGAAGATCTACTACCCAGACCTGGTGGGGAGACGGATACAACACCTCTACGAGGAGGGGGACGGGACAGAGGTGTGGTACAGGGGACTGGTGGTGCAGGTACATGAAGCACACCCCAACCCCCTGAAGACGGTGTTCCAGGTGAAATATGACTCTGAACCAGAGTGGCAGTATTACCTGGAGCTGCTCATAGACTATAAGAAGGGTTGGCTCAAAATAGAGGGCTGAGACAGGGCCGAGACGGGGCTTGTTTGTTTGGTTTCTGAAGAATGGCTGGTTTGAAAAAGAGCACTGAAGACTGGGAAACATTCCTTTTCCTGTGTGTGTGCGTGTTGGTTTTAACTGGTTTGTGTGTTTGACTGTGTTGTTTTTGAACGGTTTGATATGTGTATCGGTGCTTTTCTCTGGGCAACTTTGTTTTGCATCACCTAGTGCCCCGGGTGGGTGGAGATTTCACTTTAGGACCAATGGAATGGTGCCCCTGGTGGGTGGAGATTTCACTTTAGGACCAATGGAATGGTCTACAATATGCAACTTCCCCCCACACCCTGTGCACCGGACGATACAAAACAAACTCATCCAATGATCCTCAAGTTCGTCTTTGCTAGTTTGTTAAACGTTAAACTGTCATTTCAGCTGCTTGCTGCCTCCCAAAGGAATGCTGTTGGACAAGATTGAGATGATTTTTACAGATTGGTTGAACTGTGCTCCTTCCAACATGGAAACATAAATCTACGACCTTTATGTTAAAGATAGTTTATATTTATTCATCCTACCAGTAACTGTAATTGTCTCCGGTTCACAAAATAATCTTGTTAGACAAGATTTAGGCAGTTTAATGAATCTTTCCTCAGGAAAAATGTCTAACAGTCTTAACATACATTAACCTAGTTAGAGAGTCACAGACTAAATGAACCTATTAAAAACTAAAACTAAGTTTTAAGTGAGAATAGTTAAATATATATAGATGATAGTTGAATATAGATGAGAATAAGCATTGGTCTGAAATCCCCCCCCAAAATGTTTTTTTATTTTGAATAAATTTGCAAACATTTCTAAAAACCTGTTTTTGCTTTGTCATTATGGGGTATTGTGTTTAGATTGAGGGGAAAAACAAACGTAATCCATTTTAGAATAAGTCTGTAACGTAACAAAATGTGGAAAAAGTCACGGGGTCTGAATACTTTCCGAATGCACTGCAAACACCCCTTCAAATTAGTGGAGTTGGCTATTTCAGCCACACCCGTTGCTGACAGGTGTATCAAATCGAGCACACAGCCATGCAATCTCCATAGACAAACATTGGACACATCTGGGTTTGGCAGATGACACTGTTTTTCATGGTTCGGGCTAGGCCCATTAGTTCCAGTGAAGGGAAATCTTAACGCTACAGCTTACAATGACATTCTAGACGATTCTGTGCTTCCAACTTTGTGGCAACAGTTTGGGGAAGACCCTTTCCTGTTAGACAATACCCCTGTGCACAAAGCGAGGTCCATACAGAAAATGGTTTGTCATATTAAGTAAACAATAATAACAAATGACAACAAATAATGTAGTGGTTAATATTAAATAATGTAGTGGTCAATATTAAATATTAAATAATGTAGTGGTTAATATTAAATAATGTAGTGGTTAATATTAAATAATGTAGTGGTTAATATTTAATATTAAATAATGTAGTGGTTAATATTTAATATTAAATAATGTAGTGGTTCATATTTAATATTAACAGTTGATTTTTCCAGAGGGAAGCGAAAAACCAGAAACCCATTTTAAGCCCAATATGGAGTAAACTGGAAAAAAACATTTCCCTGATCTCTTTTAACAAGACAATCGAGCTCCTGGAAAATACACCAATAATCAACATGTACTGTACTAAATTAGGCCCAGCCTTTGGAACTTTGGTTTTCCTAGATATGGCTACTATATTGTGATCACTACATCCAATGGATTTGGATACTGCTTTAAAGCAAATTTCTGCAGCATTAGTAAAGATGTGATTTAATTCCTGTGCTGTTTGTAACTACCCTGGTAGGTTGACTGACAACCTGAACCAGCTTGCAGGCACTGGTTACAGATTTAAGTTTTGTCTTGAGCGGGCAGCTTGATGAGAGCCAGTCAATATTTACAGTTTTTTACAATCACTTTGGCACTAATTTCAGAACCTTGACATCAAAACTCAAAACGGTCATCACTTGTAACACAGGCTGTCCAATGTTCAAAACATTGCATTGTGCATTCATATCTTTAAATAAATATTGCACTTGCACAATCATTGGTTCAAAAAACAAATGTATTGTGAAATACCAATGAAACGTTAACCCACACACAAGCAACCGATTAGTTTCACTGTGTCATTGTTCATACAATCATTCAATATTGTAGTACAAAATAGGTGATACATGTTTCATTATGGTACTACATGTAAATACATCCCTGTAAAAGTACTGCAGTAGTAGAGAGAATACTACAGCCACAGTGGAATCATTTAACAGAATCTGAAATATATTGATGAAAAACAATACAGTACTGTAAAACATCAAATGCAGTGTTCCTCAACTTGCTTGCTTGTACTGTAAAAAGCAAAACATAGGAGTGATTACTGTACTTCTACATTTTCATCAACTCTGTCTTGTGGTTTTGGCCACAGGTTTTCATCTACATCACAATGGATGTTTTCATTAGCCAAACATCTTGGAAAAAACCTTCGGGCATGGCGAATCCAGGCCTGACACTGGTCTGCCGTGATGTCATTGCATGCGTCATCCATGGCCTGGAGAAGAGTGACTTGTTCATGAGGGCGCCTATCATAAACCTTCCATCTCCATGTGGAGAAATATTCCTCAATCGGGTTAAGGAAAGGAGAGTATGGGGGTAAATACAGGGTGGTAAATTGTGCACGGGCCTGAAACCATGCTTGGACCATATGAGCATGGTGGGACCTGACATTATCCCACACAATGACATAGGTCACGCCATCAGCTCTACAGGCCTGATCGAGCTCATCAAGGAAGGTTACAAGGAGAGCTGCATTATATGATCCAATACGAGGTCTGCGTCCCACCACACCATCTTCTGATATAGCCGCACACATGGTAATGTTGGCCCCACGTTGTCCAGGTACTTGGATGGTTGCCCGCTGGCCAATGAAATTCCGACCTCTCTTCCTTGTCTTGGCCAGGTTAAAGCCTGCCTCATCCAAATACAGTGAGGGAAAAAAGTATTTGATCCCCTGCTGATTTTGTACGTTTGCCCACTGACAAAGAAATGATCAGTCTATAATTTTAATGGTAGGTTTATTTGAACAGTGAGAGACAGAATAACAAAAAAAAAATCCAGAAAAACGAATGTCATAAATGTTATAAATTGACTTGCATTTTAATTAGGGAAATAAGTATTTGACCCCCTCTCAATCAGAAAGATTTCTGGCTCCCAGGTGTCTTTTATACAGGTAACGAGCTGAGATTAGGAGCACACTCTTAAAGGGAGTGCTCCTAATCTCAGTTTGTTATCTGTATAAAAGACACCTGTCCACAGAAGCAATCAATCAATCAGATTCCAAACTCTCCACCATGGCCAAGACCAAAGAGCTCTCCAAGGATGTCAGGGACAAGATTGTAGACCTACACAAGGCTGGAATGGGCTACAAGACCATCGCCAAGCAGCTTGGTGAGAAGGTGACAACAGTTGGTGCGATTATTTGCAAATGGAAGAAACACAAAATAACTATCAATCTCCCTCGGCCTGGGGCTCCATGCAAGATCTCACCTCGTGGAGTTGCAATGATCATGAGAACGGTGAGGAATCAGCCCAGAACTACACGGGAGGATCTTGTCAATGATCTCAAGGCAGCTGGAACCATAGTCACCAAGAAAACAATTGGTAACACACTACGCCGTGAAGGACTGAAATCCTGCAGAGCCCGCAAGGTCCCCCTGCTCAAGAAAGCATATATACAGTGGGGAGAACAAGTATTTGATACACTGCCGATTTTGCAGGTTTTCCTACTTACAAAGCATGTAGAGGTCTGTAATTTTTTATCACAGGTACACTTCAACTGTGAGAGACGGAATCTAAAACAAAAATCCAGAAAATCACATTGTATGATTTTTAAGTAATTAATTTGCATGACATAAGTATTTGATCACCTATCAACCAGGAAGAATTCCGGCTCTCACAGACCTGTTAGTTTTTCTTTAAGAAGCCCTCCTGTTCTCCACTCATTACCTGTATTAACTGCACATGTTTGAACTTGTTACCTGTATAAAATATACCTGTCCACACACTCAATCAAACAGACTCCAACCTCTCCACAATGGCCAAGACCAGAGAGCTGTGTAAGGACATCAGGGATCAAATTGTAGACCTGCACAAGGCTGGGATGGGCTACAGGACAATAGGCAAGCAGCTTGGGGAGAAGGCAACAACTGTTGGCGCAATTATTAGAAAATGGAAGAAGTTCAAGATGACGGTCAATCACCCTCGGTCTGGGGCTCCATGCAAGATCTCACCTCGTGGGGCATCAATGATCATGAGGAAGGTGAGGGATCAGCCCAGAACTACACGGCAGGACCTGGTCAATGACCTGAAGAGAGCTGGGACCACAGTCTCAAAGAAAACCATTAGTAACACACTACGCCGTCATGGATTAAAATCCTGCAGCGCACGCAAGGTCCCCCCTGCTCAAGCCAGCGCATGTCCAGGCCCATCTGAAGTTTGCCAATGACCATCTGGAGGATCCAGAGGAGGAATGGGAGAAGGTCATGTGGTCTGAAGAGACAAAAATAGAGCTTTTTGGTCTAAACTCCACTCGCCGTGTTTGGAGGAAGAAGAAGGATGAGTACAATCCCAAGAACACCATCCCAACTGTGATGCATGGAGGTGGAAACATCATTCTTTGGGGATGCTTTTCTGCAAAGGGGACAGGACGACTGCACCGTATTGAGGGGAGGATGGATGGGGCCATGTATCGCGAGATCTTGGCCAACAACCTCCTTCCCTCAGTAAGAGCATTGAAGATGGGTCATGGCTGGGTCTTCCAGCATGACAACGACCCGAAACACACAGCCAGGGCAACTAAGGAGTGGCTCCGTAAGATGCATCTCAAGGTCCTGGAGTGGCCTAGCCAGTCTCCAGACCTGAACCCAATAGAAAATCTTTGGAGGGAGCTGAAAGTCCGTATTGCCCAGCGACAGCCCCGAAACCTGAAGGATCTGGAGAAGGTC